CAGTAAAACATATTCAAGAAAATAAAAAAATACTATAATAAGTAGTGCCACAAACAGAATTTTTAATGTATATACATATATGAATTGCCTGATAAACATGCTGATTGTGCATCGGGTACCAAACTCTTTCGCTCTCCAACACATGCAGTCGACAGAGAGAGGAGAGAGTTAAGTCGAATGCTCACGTTGAGTGTTTATATTTTGAGCAGTTCATTTTTGTTACTTGAGTGAATAATCGTGAACTTGTTGCATTGAGCATGTTGAGTTAGGTAGGTTGAGTGGAAATTGAAGTGTACCAAACTTGATTATCCTTTCTTCACTCTTCTATGTATGTAATATTAATTTCTGAACTTGTTAATAGATACAAAATTAATAAAATTCTATTCAATAAATTTATTAAAGACTTACACTTCAATTACATTAGATTATGGTACAAGTCGTAGCGCATAGACCTACATGCAATCACTTACTTCAGTTCAGCAGGTACAGACAGATTGTAGAGTGTATGGGCCACTTTATGACTTCATCTCTGCACCGTCGCATACTCTTATACAGGCGATCGCTCTTGAGCTCTCGCTCAAAAGTATCTACCATACGCTTGGCAGGCCGCATAACAATCCGCTCGCTCAGTAACGAGTGTGGATCTTTGGTGAACGGACGGGTTTTTCGGTAGTCCCGGTTTTTCTTTCGCCGTCCTCTGATTGTCTTGGAAAATATCTTCTTCTTGTGCATGTGTGAGTGTGTTTGTGTGCTCCCTTTAAGTTTATAAAAAGAAGTTGAAAAGTGTTTGCTGTGGCAGCACTACCAGCAACAACAACAACAACAGAAATTGTGTAGTGTTTGTTGTTTTCTTGTGTATAACAGAAAATGTTGTATTAAAAGTGCAAGGAATTGGAGTGGGAGCTGTGCCATAGCCTGGTAAGTAAGCTAAACGTGTTAAATTGTTCTACACTACTTAACTGTAAATTCATATACAAATTTCAAAGTTGTACGCACTTTGAAGTACGCAGCTGTTATTGTTGTTGTTGTTGCCTGCGTTTATCTGTTATGTTCCGTTTGTTGTTACTTCTTTTTTTTCTGCTTTCGTCTTCTACTTCTCTGCATCCGCTGTTACTCTCGCTGCTCTCGTGTGTGTGTGTGTGAGTGCGTGTGTTTTTTACTGCAAGAGTTATCGCTAGGCCGAGATTTGTACTCTAAAAAAAAATTATTTATTTTATTTGTCACAGCAAAAACTTACAATGTAAAGCACATGAATTCTTTCGGATTATATGCGACTTGTAACATGATGCCTCATACCCAAATCCATTTGAGAATGTCTTGCCTTGCATATAGTATGCACATAGCTGGCGAGGGTAGCTCAAATTGTTTTCGCATCTGAATTTTCGGGCTTAAAATATTTTTTGTGTATGTCATTTTTAGAAATACAATAAAAATATATAATATGTTTTGTATAAAAATTTAAAAATAATAAAATTCTTCAAAAGAAATATATGCTTTTATGTTTATACAAATATGTATGCATATAAAAAAATCCCCAAAAGCAAAACAAAATGTTCCCTTTGAAAATACGTATATCTACATATGTATTAGAATGAATGTATTATGTAGTCGACTTCTTCTATAAGTAGTTAAACAAAAACCACAATAAATCTTATACAGCGAAGTCAGACGAAAAAGTCTTCGTATAAATAAGTAATATAAGAGCAAACATATCTTTAAGCTTTCATACCAAGACAGATGTCATTCAGTGATATACTTATTGAGCCACCCTCGCATATTTTTTAATGCTCATATGTACATGTATATTATGTGTATATGTGTACGTGCCTGTGTGCACATACATATATGCAATGCATTTTGCACTAGGCAAGGAATAGCGCATTAAAAGCTAAGCAAATTGTCTTGCAACGAGGTTATTAATTAAACTTAGCTTAAGTCGGGCCGATCTGTACAGGAAAGATATAGTTAACTAACTGTGCATTTCTATATATATGTATATATCTATCTATCTGCATGTGGGCAGGACTTAGTTCAGGCCTAATAATAGTTTTGCCGTCGCATGCATGATCTCATTTTACATTTGGGTTGGCAGATGGAGAGAGAAACATCGATAGAGAGAGATAGGGAGAGGGAGTGAGGGAAGTTCCACACATGTTCTCCATAAGTGAAATCATTTCCAGCCAGCTGAGGATGTGTGGTCAATAAGCAGCGCGCTCTGATGGAATTGAAAATATAAACATGGCAAAGCTAAGCAAACATTCAGATAAGCAAAATTTTATGAACTTGTCAATACATACAATTGTAGATATATATGCATATACATATATCTATGTATATATATTGTGGAGTAAGACAGCTATAGACAAAGCAAACGACAATTTGAAGTCAAATTTCGAACGTTGCCTGCTTCACTTTGGGACTCACTGAATATTTTGTGCAATAGGTGTTTTATATTTTATTCTATTTGATTCCAGGAATATGCTTGAGATAAGTACGATTTTTGTTACCCATCAGCAAAAAAAATTATCTTTGATGATCATGATATTCAGATCTCTTAGGAAGGCATTCAAGCATTTGATAAAAAGCTTTAATATAAAAGAATATTACTTATTCATAGGAGGGAAACTATTGTAAAATATATTAGCCTAGCTCTATAGCAAATTTCTAATGGTCATAAATCCACTATATATTTATGGTCTTGAATATGGATCCATATCAATCCTCTATCAATTCTGTTATATTAAATATAATAGTATCTCCCCAACTGCCACGCCCATATCAGAAGTAAATTACAGGGTAATTCTAGCTCCATCATTTCATTCTGCCTTATGCCGGACTTATGTTTATTCAATACCAATTCATAAACAAACACAAGCACATCTCACAGAATTTATCTCTGTGCATCATTGTGTCTGTGTGTATCTCTATGTCTGTGTGTGTGTTTGGTAAATTAACGTTTTGTTTAGTTCCTCGATTATTTGTTTATTTTCCAGTCCGCCTTTTTTGTGCTTTTTGTGTTGCGCCCCAAACGAAACTGAAATTAACAGAAAGGCAAAAGAGCAAAAAATAAAAGATTCTTTCGGCAATTAAAGGCGGGCAACAGGAAAGTTGAATTCACTGTTTATCAGATACACTGAAATCAACTGTGTTATCTGAGTACGGGTTAAACTATGCAAAAATGGTTGCAGAAAAGGTCAAGGCGGGGGTGTATTATTATAGAAATATTTACTTTGCTGCAAATTGAAAGACTTGAAGAAATGAGGAGTTTATGTATGTATACGCCATGGCAATTTCTACTTTGATATATAGACTTTACTGGAAATACTGAATGATAATCTAGAATTGCCAAACTAGTAAGGATTCCAGATAGCGGCTGGTGCTAATTGGCTTATTTAATCCTTTTTGATTTTTAATTTTTCCCTCTAAAGTTATAAGACTCAATAGAATATGCTTCATATAAAAAGCCTTTATATAAGACATTGAAAAATAAAAGCCCAGCATATATTGCATAAATATAAGGGTGTTTAATGTAAAAAACAAATACAAACATTCAAATAAAATTGTCACTAAAAATGTATTTTTACTTCTTTTTAATCGTTGTCTAAGAAAAAACTTCTAGGAAATATAATTTTATATAAATTTATAAAATATATAACTTTTTAAAATTAAACCCAAATAATTAAACAATTACATCAAAATTATATAACTAACTTATAAACTTACTCTATATTATCTATCAAAGCTTCATTCATTTATGTTACAGAATCAAAGCCATATTTATGCTATCCACTTCTTAGTGTATAGAATCCGTTAATGGTCTAGGCATAACGCTCACACGCACGCTTACATTCCCACACACTTACTCCAGACAATCGCAGAGCTATAAACATATAGTATACAATAGTTCAGGCATCTGTGAATGAACTCTTATCGGTTCCATGTCGCACTCGAAATTACAAAATAGTCGTGCAGGCTCTTTTAAAAAATACTAGAGAGTGTGGGAGAAGAAGAAAGAAAGAGTGTGAGAGAGAGAGAGAGAGAGAGAGAGAGAGAAGAGGAGTATGTGTGTGGGAGAGAGATCGAGAGAGAGAGAGAGAGAGAGGAGGAGTATGTGTGTGGGAGAGAGATCGAGAGAGAGAGAGGACAACAGAGCGAGTGCTTGTCTTGCATCGCGTTGAGTTCATCCCAATCCCTATCAATGGCCACATCAAAGGCAAAAGTTTTTGACTTATGCCAGCTTATCTCGAGCCGTTGTCGCTGCCGCTGGCGCCGCCGCTGCTTCAGCTGCTGCTGTCGAGTCTTTAGCACAGTTTCCATTTAATTTAGTTGCGTGTCCCATGAAACATGGAACTTGGCTGATAAGAATATAGACCCAGATTCAATAGGACTGAAGCTTAACACAATTTCAGACAAGTAAATAAAATAGTGTAAAATATATATTTAGAGCATAGACTAAAAGACATTCCGACGAATACTTATATTGATTAAAAATTTATAATAAGAAATACATATAAAGTTAGAGTTATATAATTACTTATTTCGTTTATTTCTATTCAAATAGAGGAATTTTTAATATCATTCTGCAGAGTAAAAGTTTTTTTTTTTATTTTAATATTTTAATATAAAAATATGCTTACTAGACATATTTTAGAGTATAATAATATATCTGAGCACATATTTTTAATGCACATAT